GTAAATGTTGCAAATGTGTCTTTCATTTAAGATTGTTGGTGGATTTTCTATAAAAAATTTCTTAAAGGTTGATTAATTATATAGAAGGCAACGCAAACAAACAGTTTCTGCGACAATGTAATGTCTAAAACATGTCTCAAAACAAAGGTTTACGTATTCTATTCAAAAACAAAGGTTTAAGTTTTCATGGTGTTCATTTATTAATTTCAATTATTAAGGAAAAGATTTATGGTGCTCAATTTTTCAATTTATTTAAGACCTTAACTAATCAATGCTATGAAAAAAAAACGATTATTGAGTTTAAGCATTGTTTGTGATTTTAAGAAACTAGCAATGAATATTAAAGTACTCCTAAAAATGCTTGATATCTATTATTAAATATAATTTGTATTAATATTTTTAAAAAACCTAAAGATTCTGGTTATATAAGATATTATTGCGTCTGCATTCGAATAATCTTCCACGTCAAGTGATATTTTCCCAGAAAAATTTAAATAACTAATTTACAAAATATTGCTTATTTTTCATTTAAAGTAGTAAGTAAGAAATATATTATAATTGTAAATACTGGCATGCAATAATTATTTAGTTTTCTTGTTCAGTTGACTAATTTTAATAATTACATCTGGCATGCTTTGTAACTACACACCAGCTGATTTCCCCTTCAAATTGGGCACCTTATACCTTGTTCCCTGAGATATATTTAAACATAAATAAATTCTGAATTCAACTTTGTAGTTAAAAAAGATGTGTTGTAAAACGTATTTTTTAATGTCATTTTAATATTATGCATAAAATAATAGAAAAAAATAGCATTCACTATCTATTGCGAAGCATCGAATATTTCCAAATGTAAAAGCTGAAATAAATTATCTTTTAAAGTTGGGTGACATAAAAGTATATTGATCTACCATGGCGACAAAACTGAATAAAGATTCAAGATGTTGCGGCTTTTCAAAAAGCAAAGCATGGTTTGAGATTAAGAAAAAATAAATAAACAACATCAAGTTATACTAAATAAAAATATGAAATATCTGCAGTTTTTGAGACATTTTGGTTTGCCAAAGCGTTGTGGATGGAATGGATATTTGATTATTACATTATGTATGGATTAAGTGAATCATTTTGAGCTCTTAGATAAATTTTTAGACTAGTCAACATCAGATTAAAATTATTCAAGATTATTGAGCTTCATTTATATAAAGGTTTTTTTATTTTCCATTACTTATTGCACTGCATACTTGTGAAAACGTTCGTTGCCTTTTGGGACTAAAAAACTATTGCACTTTACTTTTATAAAGATTTTTGTTGCTTTATATGAGTTAAAACTATTGCTATTTATATTTGTGAAAGTTTTTGTTACTTTATATGAGTTAATTATTTTCTATTACTTATTACACTTCATATTTATGAAAACGTTCGTTGCTTTATGAGACTAAAAAACTATTGCACTTTATTTTTATAAAGGTTTTTGTTGGTTTATATGAGTTAAAACTATTGCGATTTATATTTGTAAAAGTTCTTTTTACCTTATATAAGTTAAAAAGTATTTATATTATTATAGCAAAGGATGGTTTGAGATTCAAAAATTTAACTTCTTCAGGTTATGCCAAATAAAAATGTGAAACATCTGCATTTTTTGAGATATTTTGGTGCACCAAAGTATTGTGGATGGAATGAATTTTTGATTATTACATTATTTATGGATTAAGTGAATCATTTTGAACTTGAAGTTCTTAAATAAATTTCTAGACACATCAATATCAGATTTAAAAAAATCAAGATTATTGTTTTTCATATCTGTAAAGGTTTTTGTCATTTTCTATGACTTATTGACTTTTGCTCTTCATATTTGTGAAAACTCGCGTTATTTTATGTGATTAAGAAACTATTGTACTTTATATTTGTAATTTTTTTCTTTTCTTTATATGAGTTAAAGATTATTCATATTATTATAGCAAAGCATGGTTTGAGATTCAAAAAATTAAACCAAGTGAAAATGCCAAACCTCTGTAGTTAAATACACTGGATTCTAGTTGAAATTATTGCTCTTCATACTTGTAAATTATAGTCATTATTTTATATGAGTTAAATATTATTCAACTTCATAAGTTTAAAGATTTTTGTCAGTTTACTTGCTTAAAAACTATTGCAATTCATATTCATGAAAAAAATTATTATTTTCTATTACTTGAAGACTAATTAGCTACATATTTATAAAGGGTTTCGTTATTTTATATGATTTAAGAATTATCGAGCTTATAATTATAGTGGTGTTTTTATTTTACATAAATAACTTAAAGATTACGGAACTTTACTTATTTGTAAAAGTGTTTGCTATTTTATATGACTTAAATATTATTGGTGTCCCTATTGAGCTATAAACATGATAAATTTTACCGTATTCTGGTAGTTTTGACCATACTTTTTTATCAATGTACGTTTCATATTTGTAAGGATTTTCAGAACAAAAGAAATATGAGTTTAATGAACATGTAGACAACTTTGTATACAAGAAATGTTATAATATTCTTGAAATTTATATAATGACTATATATATAAAATAAAATGCATATAAAAAATAAAAACATTAAATTTGTATTTTCTATATGCATGATTTTCTAAATCAGAATTTTAAGAATTAGATGCTGTTGACGAGATACTGGTAAAAGCAATTAACCTTAAGGATTGGTACTAAGGGATAACGAGTCAAATACTTTCAATACTTGCAAAATGTTAGAAAGAAATATAATAAACCAAGAATTGCCATTGACTTATATGTTATTTTCATTGATCGTTTCCGAAAAATTTGATAAGTAATTTGACAATTTACGCATTAGGAAAATGTGTTTTGCTTAGGTCAAGGAATTTGAAGACTTAAAAATTTACAAAAAAAAACAAACAACTTTAAATGTTATCAGTTGTTATTGTTTATGAAAGCATAGAAGAGTTTGACATTTTTCATAAAAATGCGGAACATAAGGTCGCACTACTTGTTATTCAAATTGACAGCGGCAAATAAAATTGTTTTTTCCGTCTGAGCTTCTCGAGTTCTCGAGATATTCCGCCTTTCGAAATATATTGTAGAAAGTGAAATTACTGGTGAAAATAAATATTTAGACAACAAACGTGTTTGTGGTTATTTATAGTCCTTCGGCTTCTCTTATTTCTTATTTTACATTTCCAATTCCAGCAGAATTCACGAGTGTTTTATACTTTTTTTTATACACGTCTTCAAAAACTAGGATTTTAAGCAATATTCTTAATTTCAAATTACTTTTAAAGTATTAGAAATAATTACTTCTAATATTTGAAATATGTAGTAGATATATTAAATATGTATAAATATATTGCAGAATGAGAAATTACTAGAGAAAACAAATATTTAGACAACAAACGTGTTTTTGTTTATTTTCAGTCCTTCGGCTTCTCTATTTCTTACTTTACATTTCCAATTCCGTCAGAATGCATGAGTGCTTTATACTTTCTTTATACACGTCTTCAAAAATTAGCATTTTAAGAAATATTCCTAATTTCAAGTTAGTTTTCAAATATTATAAATAATTACTTCAGATAAGAATATTTAACTCATTATAAAAATATTAAAGTAAATTTTTTTTAATAATTATCTTTATAAAATAAATACTATAACCATATGTTCATATTACAGTAACATATTTCATATCACTTTATTCAAACAAGAAACGTTACTTTTTTAAAAAAAAAGCTGTAAGCGATGTGGAGATGGAACATGCATTTTTCTAAGCACTAAACTTTGTTGAATTGAAACATAAACCAATATTTTATTTCAGTTTTGATTCCACATGGTAACCTTTTTGCCTACTGCATTACGGTTTTAAAAATTCTTTTAAAAGTTTATCGTCGTAAATTATTTATGACGCATTGGCTTCTGCAAATTCCCGAATGCTAGTTTAGATGATTAAAAAATAAAGAATTCGACGTTTATATTTGGACAACATACTAGTACACACAAACAATTTTTTGATGTCAGATTCGAAGGTTTACGTAGCGACATGAGTATACTTTAAAAAAAAAGCAACAATATCTGTATTTTCTGCTTTGGTATATATTGATTCACTATATTCCCTAAAATGATCACAAATCATTGAGTGCATTAGTCAGTTTTGGGAAAAACAATTATGTCTTCGAACACACTCATCCGTTTGGTCTTTCTATTCAGTTTTCACCTACCTTTTGGTTTGTTTAGCTTATTTTTTTCTTTAAACGTGGGGTAAGAATATACGTGTGTGGACATAATAAGTGGGATGAATAATTTTGTTAGATTCGTTCACAAGTTTAAGACACCCACAAAACAGTGTAAAACACATTGGGCGTCTTCGCAGACACTGATATAGAACTAATATAGAACTGATATAGAACTGATATACCACTAATATAGAAAAAAACAGTCGGACTTCGTCGGATGCAGGAGTCCGTTTACTCGTTTTTATTACCTTTCAGTAATCTTACCACACAAAATTGTTTTTTGATTGAGTATCAAATTACTATTATGATCTGTTATGCATTTATTCCGAAAAAATAGTGCATAAATATGATTATTGATTGCGTATCAAATTACTATTATGATCTGTTATGCATTTATTCCAAAAAATAGTGCATGAATTTGATTTTTGATTGCGTATCAAATTACCATTATGATCTGTTATGCATTTATTCCGAAAAAATAGTGCATAAATTTGATTATCGATTGCGTATCAAATTACCATTATGACCCGTTATGCATTTATTCCGAAAGAAGCGCAAGTTTTTTTTTTGATTGCGTATCAAATTTCCATTATGATCTGTTATGCATTTATTTCGAAAAGCAGAAATAGTTAAATTTATTTACCTTGAAACTCGTAAAATTAAAAAAAAGTAAAAATAAATGAAGGTTTCATAACGATGCATAGAACGAATTAAAATAACATCAGAATAGCATTCATTTGCGAGAAAATTTCAGAGAAATGAAAATTTTATACCTTTCACAGCATTCAGCTTACTACCCATCATCTGCTTGGCAACAAAGGCTGCCATGATTTCTGATATATCGTCTACAAAAGAAAATACAAAATCACGGATATCAAAATTGAGTTACATGTTCATCTTTTATTTCACATTTTATAACTGAAAAAAAAATGCTGAATTAAAAACAGTAAAGTTAATTATGCAGAATACACACAGTAATCTAAGAGTATACAAATACTATATTTAAAAAAAGCACCTTAAAATCGGATGATTATAACTGCACGCTATAACAGTTTAAAATTCAATTCTACACTGAAAAGAAATATGGTCAAAACTACTAGAATATAGTGGAAATTACTATGTTTCTGGCTCTACTGGATCAAAAAAAGATCGGTAACTTTTGCCAAAATGCTTTGGTAAAGAATTTGGTAAAAATAACAATAAAACATGGGATAAAATTTGGTAATTTTATCGTAATACATTAGGCATGCCATAAAAACCCTATATTCGGTTTATAAAATATGTGGTATTAGGAACTATATTTTTGAAAATCAGAATTTTCGGTAAACCGTTACCATATAAACGAAAAATTACAGAATGAATGATTTAAATATCGTATATTTTTATGTTTTTTTTTACCAGAAATATTATTACCATTGTACCATAATTTTACCAGAACTTTTTCTCCGATATATTTCCTAAAAATAACAGAATTTTCGGTAAACCGTTACCATATAAACAAAAAATTACAGAATGAATGATTTAAATATCGTATATTTTTATGTATTTTTAACCAGAAATATTATTACCATTGTACCGTAATTTTACCAGAACTTTTTCTCCGATATATTTTTTAAAAATAACTCAAATTTAAATAATTATTTTTGTACGTAACAAATTATGTATGTAACACTGTAAATTTTTTTTATTTTATAAATATTTAATTTTTTATATTTAATTTATTTATATTTTTGCACGAGTGAATTTATTTAATGTAAATAAGTCATGAACATTTAACGTTGAATGATAAATACGTCCAAAATAAGAGCCTCAAAAAATGCGTAGAAAAAACAATTAAAGCATAAAAAACCTTCAAGCATAAGAACAGAGCAAGAAATCTTTTAAAAAATACGTTTTTTTTTTCCTTTTTGGCGCATTGTTGCTGTTACGTTTTACAGTGATTGATGCATAGTACGCATAATTAAAAAGAATTAGGATGAATGAAAAATAACTACAAAATAATTTAAAAATGTGAAAGAATAACAAATCAATAAAGTAATCACAAAGAATTTAAATTGATACAATTATTCAATTAAATCAAAGAAACGTGATTTTTAAAAAAAAGTTATTTCCTCTTTTTCTATAAATATTTGTCAAGCTTTATAGGAAGCAGTTTAAAACTTTTTTATTTCACCAATACGAGTATTAAAGTGACAATCTAAAAATAGAACGTCGTGATAAACTTCAATAATAAGAAGAGGGTTTTATTTTTTCTTGCAATACTTTTATCGAAAGTTTTAGTCAAAACGGAAATTAAAGTTTCGGGATTAAAATTAGCACTGAGATTTTTTAAAGAATTCTTTCAGCACTTTTAAAAGCTTTCGTCTTAAAAATAGAAGTTTGAATGAATTTTCATGAAAAAGAAATTTTTAGGTCTAGTAAGCATTTTATCCGATGGTGAGACATATTTATAGAATAACCCAAAAAATACCTTTGATTTGATTGACTATTTACAAAAAGACTGGTTTGTGGTAGTAAAAATATTTATAATAATTTTTAATAAGTATTTTTCCCCATTGCAATGAAAACATAAATGTAAAAAAATTCTTCATGTGCCAAACTAGAAAATTGTGTCACAAAAAATGCCATTTGCAAATAGCGATTACTTTTTATGAATATCTAGTTTTCTGTAAAGATTTTTCATTTTTTATTTTTATTTAACTTATTTTGCTCTGTTTATAGAAAACTAATAAATAGAGATTTTAAAGTCCTTTTCGTCGTATGTTTAACACATTTTTAAAATTTATTTTTTTTCTTTATAACTTCTATGCGTTTGCAATCGTTATCTGTGGCCGTTAATTTTTGCCTATCGTCTACCTGTATCAAGTGCCCATTGAGCTGATTATAAAAGTGACTAGGAGATGTAAGAAAACAGCATTTTTTTGGAAATGAAAAACGGGTTACTCTTTTAATTTTCAAAACATTACTTAACTATTTTGTTTGGACTCGTAAAAGTATGCAAAAATTGAAATTAAAAAAAATTGAAAAAATATCGCCAACCTGACAATTTTTAAAAAGAAAATATATGTCAGATATTTGTTTGCTTTAAAGCCCAGACAATTCTTATCATCAAGACAGAATACATTGTTCATAAAATTATAAGGATATTAGTTAAAGTTAAGAATATTATCTAAGTATATTAATTAAAGTTAATTATAAGGTACTCAAATTGTGACTTTTTGTATATCTTCTTTGGCGAAAATGGAGAAAAATATAAATTATCGCCAATTTTGAGTGCCAATGAGAACGCAACATTAATAATTTGATTATGGTTCAGAAATTAATTTGCTGCCCTATATTATGGATAAAAAAACATAGATTGTTATCAAATATCCTCACTGCCAAGGCAAATCATACAAAAAGTATCATGCGTCATTATCCTCAGCTAGAAAATATTTAAGGATAAAAAATCAATTTAATCCGAGAGTGAAGCTTACGGTTTCCATTTTGGCCACCTGTAAGTTTACTATTATTAATTATAATTAAAGTAACAGTTGGTAATTATAAAACTATTATACTAAAACAAGTAAACTAAAAATAACTAAAAATCTGATGAGGATGAACTAACTCTCTTGATTGAATTAACTTTTCTATGAAGAAAAATCTTTACAAATTTCTGAGATTTTTCCACCAAGATGATAATAGCTAAAATCAATTATTTATTCTTAGAAATGTAATTTTTCTGCATACTGGAAACTTGTGCCACTTTCATAATGAGCATAGTAGTATGATTCTCAATCATGATGAACACATGATTCTCAATTATTATAAGATATTACCGGTATTATTAATGCATGATTCTCAATTTTTAAGCATTTTTACATAACTAAGAAATGCTGAGTTAGCGTAGCTTTTTAAATATTAAATAAATAGGATCACAAACACTTTTTATTTTTAGAAATGTAGTTCTTCTGCATGCTGAAAATTTGTGTCATTTTCATAATGAGCATAGTGTATGATTCTCAATCATTATTAGTGCATGATTCTCAATTACTATCAATATTATTAATGTATGATTCTCAATTTTTATGCATTGTTACAAGACTAAACAATGCTGAGTTGGAGTAACTTTTTTAAATATTGAAAAAATTAGATCACAAACGCTTTTATTCTTAGAAATGTAGTTTCTCTGCATACTTAAAACTTGCGCCATTTCCATAACGATCTTAGTGGTCGCGGGTTAGAATCGGGCAAAACATTATCTAACAAACATAAATAACAGTCATGATTTCACAATAGTTGTAAAAAAAAAGGAAATTATTCACTAAAAATCAATATTTCATGTAATGACATGCTTTTGAAAAACAGCTTTTTAAAAGATCCTCTTAAAAAATATTTTATAACCGGCGTTTTACAGCTGACCCAATAATGAGTTCAAGACTACCATTGTTCAACTACGCAGCCTTGTAACTTTGAACCCAACCTAGAAGATATTGATTTGAATTAAGAAACCTCCCATGGCTATCCAGACGGCAAGGTGATTCTAACTAATGAACCTTTAACCACTTAGAGTATTTCTTGTCAAAATTGTGGTCGGTGCGAGCCCGAGGCAGAAGCCGAGAGGACTAAGTTGTCAATCACATGACCAGATGATGGGGTATATATATGATATATATATGTATATATATACATATATATAATTTCATTTCCTAGTGACATTATTGAAATTTTAAATAACTAAAATGTCTGGAAAAATGAGCACTTACATCATATTTACTACTTTAATCTCAAATATTTAATCACAAAGCTAAGGAACTAGTAAAACTAGGAGACTATTACTTAGAATTGGGAAAAAAAATTTTAGAATCATTCTACCAAANATATATACACACAATGAAATATAATGTGTAATGTGTATGTATGTGATCTGTATTGTACTGACTAGGTCTATAATTAAGCCGAGAGGACTAAGTTGTCAATCACATGACCAGATGATGGGGATGGGGATCGAATATCAGTGTAGACACCACAATATCTCCTCCATTTCTTCAACACAAGAAGAGATTCCACTGTTCTGTACTCATTATGTACATGGAACAAAGATTAACACGAATAAAATAAAAAAAAATTACTACGAAGCACTTTTGTAGATCTTCTAAATTATTCTGTGTTTATGTTCTATATAAAAATATTTTTATGTGTCTTTTTTATTTTAGTTTAATTTAAAATTTTTATACGTATGTAAATTGCTTGTACAATACAGTTTTTTTTTACTGATTTCATATCAAAGCAAGCTGGATATCATGGGGGATTTTCAGGATTTGTCAGTGTTGCAGAAACAATTTAATTTAAGATGATTGTTACAAGTATCTAAAAAATAAATAATGATAATTTATAACTGAGCGCATTTCAAAGCAATATTTACTCCAAAATTTTTATTTATTTTAGATTTGAAAAACAAACAAATTTTAATTGGAAAATTGAAAATTAAAATAATGCATGATGTAATCTATAATTAGAATTTTTACCTCCAAACTAACTCATCATCATAGTAAACAGTTTACAGGAGTAAAATGAAAAATGTAAAAATACAAAACTTTCGTGAAAGCATTCTTTAATTAATTTTTCTCTTATGAACCAAATAAATTGTTCTGTAGCAGAAAAGCTAGGGAGTAGAAAATTTTGTTTTATATTTATATAACGATTGTTTTCCTTCTGATCTACCGAAAAAATCACGAAAATCTTTAAAAATAATCCAGCAATAAAATAATAATCAATGTTTATTTCATGCATTAGAGATAACAAATTTTCAATTTATTAAGAAAGACTATTCTTTTCTATTGAGAACATAATAATTTAAATTAAA